GGAGGAGGAGGAGGAGGCGGAGGAGGAGGAGGAGCGCAGCGTAGGAGGGGGCGAGAGCCGGCTTCACGCTCAGAGGCCCCTCAGCCCCGAGCAGGAAGCGGCAGCGGCGGCGGGGCGGAAGGGCGCACCAGAGTTGTCCTGGTCGCGCGGCACGGGCACGATGCCGTGGCCGACGAAGTGAGATTCAATTTCAGTCACCGGAGCCGCATCATCTTTATACTCGGAGGAGGCAGCAGCAGCAGGAGGCTCAGCAGGACGAGTAGAGAGGGTGGCGGGCGAGCGAGCCGAGCGGCGCACGGGAATGCATCGGATGGGAGGAAGAGGAGGAGGAGGAGGAGGAGGAGGAGGAGGAGGAGGAGGAGGAGGAGGAGGAGGAGGAGGAGGAGGAGGAGGAGGAGGACGACGAGGAGGAGGAGGAGGCGGAGGAGAGGCAGGATGAGGGCAAGTTCGGATGAAGACAGGTCGGGGATCTCTGGGAGCCGGCGGGTTTGGGGGACGTCTCTGGCCGCCTCGACCCTGGCCTCCACCCCCTCTTCGGATGAGGACGACGGGCGTCTTCGACCGACGGCAGCTCAGGACGTGGCACAAAGAGAAGGCCTATGACACGTGTTGGGACAGTCTGGGTGACTCCAAGCGAAGGCTCCCTGCGGCGGGGCCGGCAACAGCTCCACATCAAGCCTTGCGAGCGCATAGCGTGTCGCTCTACTCTACGGGAGGGGGGCGGGGAAAAGCTCAGGACGCTGAAGCCTGGAGACGCGGCTCGCACATCGCGTCGAAGCGCGCTGGGCCAGGAGCGGCGGCGAGACACGCTGAGCCAAACATCGTTCATTTCGTCCAACCTGGCCTTTTCCTCCACCTCCTCCTCCGCGACGGGGCCAGAGCCGCCGTGCCGAGGCCCGTCCTCCCCCCGACGTCCTACCTTCATCCCTCCACCGGCCTCCTCCTCCCTCCTCCCCTCTTCTCTCCCTCTTCATGTTCCTCCTCCTCCTCCTCCTCATTCCTCTTCCTCCTCCGTCCTCCTACTCCTCCTCCTCCTCCTCCTCCTCCTCCTCCTCCTCCTCCTCCTCCTCCTCATTCACTCCTTTTCCTTTTCCTTCCTCCTCCCTTCCCCTCCGCCCACCTCCGTCCTCCCACGTCTTATCCCTCCCCCCTCTTCCGCCTCCTGCTCCACCCGACTCGAAGCGGGCATCAGGGGCGATCTCAACGCTGCGTTCCTCCTCCTCCTCTTCCTCCTCCTCCTCCAGAAAGAGAGAGAGAGAGAGAGAGAGAGAAAAAGAGAGAGAGAGAGAGAGAACAAAAAAGAGAGAGAGAGAGAGCGCGTTTCTTTCTGTTGGGCGACGACGGGCGTCATAGGGGGGGGGCGGGGGGGGGTATGACGTAACGCCCCACCCGCCGCGTGGCTCCGGCACCACAGCCGCGCCCGCGCGCACGTCGACTATGAACGACGAGCGACGCGCGACGACAACGACGACCACGACGACGACGACGCGAACATGTAGGCGGCGATTGTCCCACAGCACCAGTGTACACCACAGCGCTCGCGTGCACCGAAGCGCGCGTGTACACCGCAGCGCCTGCATACACCGCAACAACCGTTTTTTTTTGCCTGCGCGGCGGGCAGACGGGGAGGCTCCAAGAGTCAGCCCCCCCTGTCTGCGTGGCGCCTCTGGGCCCTCGGCGAAAGACCGAGGCTCGGCACCTGGAAGGCAGGCGGCCTACGCTGAGGCCACCGAGCTCGAGAGGCCAGCCACCTCTCCAGCTGCAGCGTCGGGGAGACGCGCACCACTGGTCGAGCGCACCCCTCGGCGAATTCTGTCGCCCCTGAGGCGGCGGATGCGGCCTGCATCCCCTTCGCCTGGGACGCACATGCCCGAGAGCACCTTGAAGGAGCCAAGGCGCTCACGTGCGTACGCGTTGCACCTGTTGCAGACGACGTAGCCGTGGCACCGCTGCAGCACATGCCCGAGCTCGTCATGCGCAGCGGACAGAGCGGGCGGCTCAGCGGGTGCCGAGGGAGCCGCCCTTTCGGCAGACACCTCGGCGGGACCCAACGGCGCACTGGCGACGCCGCGCACTGCATGCTCACGAGGGGACCGCGACCTGTCGCCGCTGCCTCCGACGGCGCCAGCGCGAGAAAGGTCCGCCCTGCGCCCCCTCGATGCAGCCATGAGGAGGTCGGCGGCACTCGAGGGCTGGCGCTCCACAGCGGCGGGCCTCACGCTGGAGCCCGCGGGGGGCCCGCGAGGCCTGCGAGGCACTCGGCGGGCGGGGCCGCTCGCGGCGGCGGTGCTGCCGGGGTCGCCGCCGCCGCCCTCGGCGCTGCCACCTCCACCGCGCCCTCCAGCAGCGGCCGCGATGGCGGCGGCCGCCAACGCGGCACCCGCAGCAGCGCTGGAGGCGGGGGCCCGCCTGGCCCCTGAGGTCACCGCCTTGGGCTTGCACGGGCCCCTGAAGAGCACCTGCTTGGACTTCTCGGTGCGCGCCGTCTTGAGGCGCGCCTGGCAGTGCCACGAGCCGTCGGCCTGCGTCGTGAAGACATGGCTCGTGAGGCTGAGGCCGATGCGGTCGCCGAAGTCGCGCTGCACGTAGCCTTGAGCGCTGTCGTCCCTGGCGGCCCCCGCTGGCGTGCCGGCCTTGGCCAGCCAGCGCGCAACACCGTCCGCGATGACGACGGCCTGCTTGCATCTCAACGTCGCCGCGGGAGGGGGTCCGAGCGCCGCGGCGATGCCTCCTGCCACGAGGTCCGCCTCGCAGTTGCCGCGCCTCTGCTTGAGCGTGATGGCGCCCTCCCGAACTTGGCGAAGGGCTGCGTGGCCAGGCACCTTGACCACCGTGAGGCCGTTGTCCGAGAGGCCGCCGAAGTCGTCGAGGGCCGCCCACAGCAGCCGCCACAGGTGCCCCCACGCGGAGGACGCGATGGCGGTGCGCTCAGCTCCGCGAAGGTTGAGGCCGTCCACCACGAAACTGGCGTCGCAGTGCAGGACGATGGGCGGGATGGAGTGCCGCAGCACGATGAGCACCGACAGCAGCTCCGAGCCCTCGATGCTCTGCCACGGGCCGACGAGCGGCGAACCAAGCGCCTTGGTCCTGCTGCCAGGCCCTGGGTCGGTGCTGTCGCTGACGGGCGGCAGCTCGACCACCGCCGCTGCGCCTTGGGCGCCCCGCCCACCAGCAAGTGCGGCGCCGTGCAGGGCGCCGTCGCAGTACAGGGGCTGGCCGCAGAAGGGCTCGCCTGGCTCGCCGCAGCACCAGCGCAGATGGTCCAGGAAGCCGCCTGCAGGTGGCCGCCACTGCAGCCAGGGGATCGGGAAGAGCAGCCTCTCGACGAGCATCCTGATCACCTGGTTGTCGCGCTGCGCCAGCAGGAGCGCCATCTCCCGCGGCAAATCTCCTCCATCAGGTAGACGAGTGAGGGCCTGGCACTCGAGATGCCTGTGCCAGAGGTCGCCCCGCTGCCCTGGGCAGAGCTCGCAGAAGTCCGAGGAGGCATACCTCGGGTTGTTGCCGAACTTTCTGGCGTTGGTCCAATGGCCGTTCACGATGCACGACCTGAGGTAGCCGCGCTCCTCGTTAGTGGCGGTGGGCCAGCTCCTGCCCACCTTCGATGAGGGCCGTCCTCTGTCGACCCACTTCCGCAGCTGCCCGAAGTTGATGCCGACGGCCAGCCATGGGGCGTCGTGCTCGCTCAGCTGGCGGGCCTGCCAGTCCTCGCAGCTGCGCCGAAGAAGCTTCTTGGTCAGCCACGGGCTGGTGTCGCCGATGCAGTGGGCGTCGCCCGCGTCGGAGGTCCACTTGTCCAGCTGCTCGCACTGCCATCCGACGCGCCGCAGGGAGAGGACGGCGGCGGAGATGGGCCCGCGGGCCGGACTCCACTGGCCGACGTGGTGGACCGCAGCTGCAAAGGCCGTCTCCAGCGCCTTCTTGGGCAGCCACTGCTCCCAGACGGCTCGGTGCAGCGTGCTGATGGGGTCGAGCGTGGCCTTGACGATGGGGTCGTAGTCGGCTCCGATGAGGGCCAGGACCGCGGTGGCGCTCTGACCCGCGGGCCGCAGCTCGATGGCCTTCACAGCAATGGTTCTGGCCTGCTGGAGCTCGACGTCGCTCAGGCCCGTGCAGCACACCCCGCATGCGCAGCTGGCCTCCAGCCCCTGCTTTGCCACGCGGGCTGCGATCCTGCGGAGACGCGGGGGACCGAGGAGGCGGCGAAGCCTCGGCACTCGCCGCGAGGCCTGCTTGAGCCGCCCCTTGCGCACGTTCCTGGGCATCTTGATGCCGACGGCGAAGTCCACGCCCAGGTTGCGAGCTCCTCGAGCCGCGCGCGCCTTGGTAGACGCGGCCAGCCTGCCCTCGAGGTCCTTGGCCAACTGCGGCGAGTCGGCGAGGAGCACCGACTTCTTGGTAGCCACGACGGTGTCCACCTTGCGCAGCTCCTTGACCACGCTGGTGACGCTGGCCACGATGGAGTCGGCCACCCGCTTGCCGCCTCCGACCCGCTGGAAGACGAGGTCGTCGACGACGACCGACGGCACGATGCTCGGCGATGCACGGACCGTGCGGTCGAGCGGCGTGAGCAGGACCAGCTTCATGAACGTGGTGGCCCACATGTCGCCCGCCAGGACCGTCTGGTTTGTCACGATGAGGTCCGAGTCAGCTCCGCGGAGCTCCAGGGCACGCGGAGCTCGGTAAAGAGAGGTCTGGAGCTTGACTACCCAGAGGGGGAAGTCGTGCTCGGCCGCCGGGTTGATGAGATGCTGGTGCCCGATTTGCTCGAAGGCCTTCCATAGGTCGAGCACCACGGCGGCAGAGTGCCAATCCAGGTCGGGCTGCTCGTCGCGCTTGGCCTTCAGCCACTCACTCCATGCAAGCTGCTGCCACACAGCTCGCTCACAAGACTTGCCTGCCGTAGCCCACCAGAAAGCCCGTGGATGAGCGGCCTCCCAGTCACGGGCCAGGCCGCGGCGAAGGCGCCCGCACGCGCACGAGAGCCGCGAGGAGGGCGATCGGCCTGACGCCGCCCTCCCGCTTGGCAATGAAGACCAGCTTCGTGATGAAGTTGGGCCAGCAGCACTCGAGCTCAACCCTCTCCAGGAGGGCTGCGATGGCCTCCACGCCGTCGTCGCCAAGGGCGTCGAAGTGGCGCGGGCAAAAGGTGTCGAACGAAGTGCCCGTGGCCTGCGGGAAGGACGTGAAGACCTTGCGCAGCTCCGCGACGGTGGGGCGCGGCGGCCTGGCGCCGAGGCCTCCATCAGGCCAGACCAGCTCTGCCGTCGTCCCCCCCATGTTCCGGAAGCGCGACCACTCCTCGACGAGGAGCTGCACCGCCTGCATCTGGCCCGCTGGCGTCGGGGCGGGGTAGCCCTCCGCCCCGCTGCCGCCGTCGTCGCAAGTGGGGCTTGGATGCCACTGCATGGGCTCCTTGGTGAAGGCGTGCAGCGCGCTGCCTCCGAGCAAGGCCTGCTGCTCGATCCAATCGCCGAACCTGGCCTTGGCCCGTCTGATCGCGGAGGCGACTAGCATGTCGCCCACGTCGTCCACCAGCATCGCGACAGCGCGGAGGGCGGCGCTCGGCATGTAGTCAAAGGCGCTGCACAGGAGGGCAAGCGCGTTGCAGAGGCGGCTCTGCTGCTGGCCTCCGTCGGCGTGCTGGACGTAGCGGTACTAGGCGCGCCGCAGGCGGTTGATCGGCTGCCGACCACGCGCATGGGCCCCGATGACGTCCAGGGAGGAGGCGTTCTTGGCGACCATGGTCCACTGCTTGATCCAGCATGTCTGGATGTCCAGCCTTGGGTAGCGCGGCATCTTGGGTACGCTGGCGCAAACCCAGCGGGGCCTGGGAGGGGTCGCTCGCCCCCTATAGAGGTCGCCGTGTTCATTGAGGCCGCAGCGGTCAATCAGCTCGTCCTCAGCGACGCTGATGATGGCTTGCCACGCATCGTCGACGGTGGGGGCGATCGGCACGGCTTGCTGAACGGCGGCCCAAGCTGGGCCGAAGTCCTGGGAGCAGCAACCAGTCGGCAACGGCCGCGGGAAGGGCTTGGGCGACTGCATCACCTGCACCCAAGGCTGCACCTGGTCCGTGCTCACCTCGAACAAGACATGTCGGTGAGGGCCGAAGTCCCAGTCCTGGAGGGTCGTGGCCTTGGCCGCCGCGAGGCAGGAGGAGACCACGAAGCAATCAAGCACGCGCTCGGCGGGTCGGCAGGTGCCGCTCGCAGGGGCGATGATGTGGCCGCCCAGCTGCGCGAGCCAAGGGGCCTGGGCAAGGTCAGCGGGCTCCATGTTGAAGTCGCCGCAGATGATGAACGGCAGGCCGACCGCCAGGACCGCTCTCCGCGCGGCCTCCAGGATGGCCATGTTGGCGGCCGACAGCCCCTCGCCCGTATGCAGGTATACGTTGGCCCACGAAATCCCGCCTCGCATGAAGCCGCCGCGGTGCAGGATGGCGGCGCGGCCAGGAATGAGCCCGCCGCTGCGAAGGCCGTCGACGAGGAAGGGGGCGGCCCCATGCCGCCTGGGGACCAGGCAGTGCAAGCCGCCGTGGCCAGGCTTGCCGCCCTCCGCGTCTGTGGCGGCGCACGCGAGGGCATGCCAGCCCAGACGGTCGAAGGCCGCGCTAGCCTCAGCTGCGCGCGGCGCGGAGAGGTGCGTCTCCTGGACGGCGACGAAGTCGCAGCGGACGAGCTCGTCCTTGCCCACGAAGCCCATGAAGGTGGAGTGGGCGTTCGGGTTGATGGTGAGCCCACGCCGCGGCGCGCAAGCGGCTGCACCATCAGCCCTGCACCTGCACTTTGGGTCCATCGACCCGCAGCTTCTTGTCGACGTGCTCGCGGAGGCAACTGAGGGCAGTGGCCGGGCGCTTGCGCTCAGTGTCGTCAGCACACACCGTAGACAGGCCACCAGGATCCGACCCGCAAACGAAGGACTGCAGGGTGACCAGACTGGAAGGGGACGGCGCCTCGACGGTGACGTCCATGGGGCCAGCGCCTGCGGGGTCGCCTGCCCCGCCTGCTGGGGTCGCTTGCGCTGCCGCCGCTGCTGCAGCCGCAGGCGGAGGCGGCGGCGCCGCCGCCTTGACCAGCTCGATGACCTCCGCAAGCAGGTCATGCGGCGACTTCTCGGCAACGTCGAAGGCCGAGAGCTTCTCCAGGAGGCTGGCGGCGGGCACGGCCTCTGGCACGACGAAGACCTCGGCCGCGGCAGCCCTGGCCTCCTCGCGCTCTGCCCCGACAGCCTTGCACTTGCGCTGGGCCTCCTCGAGCGCCAGCATCGCCTTGACCGCGGCTGCCGATAGGCGCTGCACGGTCTTGGCGGCCTCGACCGCACCCTGGTCGACACGCTTGAAGTTCTGGGTGGCCTCGTGCGCTGCGAAGGCCCCGCAGGCGCCAGGCCCGCCTGCGGCGACGGCTCGGCGCGCGTCGACCTTGGCGACCGTGGCCTTCGCAAGCACCTTGCGGTACTCTGCCCAGGCCTCGTCGCTGAGCGTCGCAGCCCGCTCGATGGCCTTCTCGCCCAGCTTGGGCCAGAAAGTGGCCTCCTGAGTGGGCTGCTAGCCGTTGGCGCCCTTGGGCCTCGTGCGCAGCCATGGCGGGGCGCCGCCGCCGCCTTGCCCGCGCCCACCGACGCCTGGGCCCTTGCTGCGACGCCCGCCGCCGCCGCTCTGGCCCAACCAGCGCCGCGGCCTGCTGCGCCCACAAAAGCCACGCGCCTGCAGCTTGAAAGGGTCGTAGCCGC